ACGGATACACATATATACATATATATATACACACATATTTACTTCTCTATTTCTCCTTTCTTCCAAAGGCCTGCACTTGGAGCCCTCAGGAACGGCCAACATGCCAAGGTTTAGGGTTTATGGGCTTGAGGTTTAGGTTTTCCGGATCAAGCGTTGTAAGGAATAAGGGTTTAAAGCAGGCTTCAGGGTCCAAGCCTTCAGGTGCAGCCCAAATGCCACGGTTCAGGCTTTGTGGGTTTCTAGGGTTTACAGGGTTTATAAATGGTTTAGGGATTATTGCCAAGAGTAGGGATCATACAAGGGTTTGTATGAGGGTTTCTTTCGGGTGTAGGTGTCCAAGACTTCGGGTCCGATCCACATGCCACGGTTTAGGGTTTATAGAGTTTGCGATCAAGGGTTTATACAGAGGCTTCTAGGGTTTAACAAGAGGCTAAAGCTGTATAGTAGGGTTTTAGCGGGGGTACAGGTTTCCAAGCAAGCCTTCAGGTCTGGCCCACGTGCCCGGGTTGTAGGGTTGGGGCCTTCTATAAAGGGTTTACATTGGTTCCTATCATGGCACACCAGCCTGTCGTCAAGGTCCGGGAGGCCCGCCACACAGCCCTGTATATATATATATACACAGAATCACCAAGTGCGGCGATATCATCCTACCGGCTCTCGAAGCTAGAGCTGTTCGCAGCCTCCAATTTCCGCCAGCAACACAAGTCCCAGCATGGCCGTCCAAAGTCCTATAGTAGAACCCTTTATGCACATGTACTCACATATACTTGTACATATACATATTTATTTACACATCTACGCGGGTATTATATATATACACACATACACATACGTCTTTGTACTATACATATGCAAATATACATCTATGTATACATATTAGATATTACATGTCTAAATATATGTGTATGTGTGTATGTACGTAAGTATGCAACTATGTAAGTATGTAGGTATGTAAGTATGTACGTATCTGTGTATGTCTACATAATTATGTATGTATGTATGTATGTATGTGTGTACATACATGCATACATGCATACAGTGGCATACAGCAACGGAGAGGGATAAGCTATAGGTATATACAGCCATGTATGTATACAGTATACACATATGTCTGTATGTGTCTATCCATGCAACATGGCTACAATTGCAGATCTATACATGCATGTGAATGTGCATATGTTCTACATCGTATGCACATAGACGCTCATCTATACACATGCACCCCTACATGTATTATTTTATTGCTTATGGGCTGCAACCCCTACATGCCACAACCATCGGCCATGCTTCCGTGCATGTGCTAGCTACATCATTCGCTTCTCGAGCATGCCCACGAGGCGGCCCATGGTGCCCAGCGCCGTGGTCATCTGGATGGGGAGACGGCTTTTGTTACATCTATATATACTATAGAATCTATACACGAGATACGGAAGAACCCCAAATCACAATCATCTACAAACCCACAAACCCCGACCCATCTCAACCGGCTCCTATAAAGACCGTTCAAACCCCAACAGCCAAAACTCCAGGTTCAGGTTTGCAGGCAACAGCCTGTTCCAAGAAAGACCCTATATAGACTGTCGATATCGTAACTAGACTCGACCCAACATGCAAGGAGAAAAAACCGACATGCGACGAGGAATATATATATATATATATACATACATATATATATATATATATATATAGACATACATAAAAACATCCCGGGTTTAGAGATTTGCATGGATTGGGCGAGGGCTTTGCGGGCTATATACCCCTGCAACAAGCCCTATATGTATAGAACCTAAACCCTAAACCTGCTTCCGGAACCCCTTCTAAACCCTGTATACCCTTTCTAAACCCTTTATATATACCTTATAATACCGAGTAGAAAAACCCTTGGGAAATAATGCCACATATAAAGCCCCATACCTAACGTATGGATATACTCTGTAAGGTTTCCGGGTCTTTCTTCCAAGGGCTTTTTTTGGGAGGCTCCAAGGGTTTTAAGTTTCTTGTGTAATTGCACCAGACGGCATTTAGAATGCTGCTACGATGTGGGTTGGAACCTTCTGGTGGCAATGTCCCTTCGGCTGGCCTGCTCTCTGTACTCGCGGCGTTCTTCGCGATCCTCTTGGTTGCGACGAAGGTGTTGGATCTTCTTGCCCGCCCGCTTCCGATCCCTGTCGCGGCCGTAGCCCTTCCTTGCAATTGTGCATACTCATGCAGAACATAATTAGGCAACGATATTTGTCATCGTGGCTTTTGAATATAGTTGTGTTTAGCTGGCTTTCCCTATACAACACAAAGCTTTGCAAGCAAAAGCCAAGCATCGGGGAAAACTTTCTATTGGAATGCTGCCACCCGCCACGGACGTAGGTGCCCTTGCCAGTGCCATTGCCAGACCCAGTGCTAGAGCTCCCCGAACTCGGCCACGGTCGCCGGTCCTTGTTCCATCCGCCGCCGCCGCCCCATCCGCCATACCCACGATGGCCCCGCCCTCGACCTGGGTCACCGCTGCCACTGCCACTGTCGCCATCATCAGTCCATGCAGCATCGGCAACCCCATAGTGGGTCTCCTCCTCCTCCATGGGAATGTCGTACTCTTCCCACTTCTCATCCCACTCCTCTTCTTCCTTTTCCTCCTCCTTCCATCCATACCAGCCCGCATTGGGCTCGGCCGAGTCCGGCGGCTCGGCAGCCTCCTCCTTGACATGGCCAGTCCGCATGATTCGCAAGCGGAGCGATGGCCTAGCGAAAAAAACCTTTTGGCCCAAACTGCAACAAGAGATGTAGTTCACAGCAGTTCACCTCAGGAAAGCATTCTGCAAGACATGTGTTTCTTCAAAAGCAGGAGAGGCTGCTGCATGCATGGGACATGACTTGCTGCAAAGCTCACCTTGACAAAGTTTATCTTCCAAATCTACCTATATACAGCACCATATTAAAGATCAAAACTGGTGTGTCTAGAAATTAACACATCAAATGTATGTGTGTGCATATATATATATATATAAACAGTGCATACACATATAAACATATATATATATAAGCATATACTTTTATGTATATGCATATAAATATGTGTATACATATGTATAGACACAGCTAGTTAAAAAAGTACATTCAATAAATACAAAAGAAATACACAAACCAGTCAACATACATATGTATGTATATATATATATATATATATATGTATAGGAACAAACATATACACATATAGCTACAGGTAGGGTTGCATGGCACATATCGGAAAGTAAAGAATGACTCCAATGCGACTCGGCACAGTATAGCTGTCTATCTATATGTACATACATGGATAGATACATAGATAGGTAGATAGACAGACAGATAGGTAGATAGACAGATAGATAGGTAGATAGATAGATAGATCGATAGATCGATAGATTGATAGTTATAGATAGACAGATAAATTAAGTGATTAGATACACATATACATATAGATAAGAAGATTGATAGATTTCCTTGTTGTGTATATATATATATGTATATATATGTATATTTATATGTATATGTGTGTATGTGTATATATATATATATATATATATACAGATGTATGTATATGTATATATATATATATACAAACATTACATTGGCACATGGGGAAAGCACTCGCGAAATGCCTGCACGAAAGTTTTGGCACGGCCGCACACACAAAGGCAAAGCTGCAACCACCTGGAAAACTGAGCTGCAAAAACCTCGAAAACTGATGCACTGACAAACTCGCGGGATCACATGTTCTCGACGGCTATCGGGACGGCTTCCTGCTCGGGCTCGCTACCCTGATCTTCGTCGCGGAGTGGTTTATGTGGCTTGCGGCCTCGCTTCCTCCTCTTCGGACTGCCCGCTGCAGCTTTCCCTCGAGCTCGCTTCGGAGGTGCCGGGGCGGCTGCAGACGAGTGCAAGATAGCCAAGCGAACATAATTCAAGTTTTCTGTCGTGAGTTCAACCCAGAGCTGCTCGCCCTTGATGCCCCAAAGCATCGTCATCTGATGTTCTGCATGTACCTCATCACCGTCAGCATTCTGCACAGCAGGGGCCAGCACCTGCACGGTGCGACCAGCAAGGTACTCGTCCTGCTGTGTGGCTGCCCGAATCTTCTGCGGGATTGGTGTTCCTTCCGCCTCGGCGGCCTCTTTGATCACCCGTTTGAGTGATTCTTGGCAGGCTTCTTTGCGAAGCTCGGCAACGGTAGAAAACCATTGCCTATTGATGTTGTGTTCTTTGCCACTATGCAGCCGCAACCCTTTGCCTGTCACAAACAGGGTGAGGTCGCGATCCCATTTGGTTAATTTGATGTAGTTGCATCCAGACACTACTTGGACCGCGGGTTGCCACGTCGCCTTTTTGAGGCCTGCCCCCTCGATGGTGATGGCCGTGAAAATCCTGATGGGCAGTTCCTCCTGATTCTCGTCCTCCTGCTCAGGCTGATGCTGCGACTCATCCGACATTGCTTCAAAACTCCGAACAGCGAGCCAGGCCCTGCTGTTCCTGTCAGCGAGCTATAGCCCTGCTGACAGAATGAACAAAGTGTTCAACTAGAGCCGTGAGTCTTCAACTGCACACATCCATGGAGTTCCCTGCATGCACAGTCACGCAGGCAGACACACCCAAAGGTTCCATGCCATGATGTATACCGAACATGTTTTGGCACGGCTGCAATCTCATGCTTTGCAGTGCCCGGGCTGAAAGCTGGCAAAAGCGGTGCATGCGAAATGGAGGTGATGCCTCGCCACATGACGAATCTCCAGAGATCATCTTGAAAGCTATGTAAACCCATTGATTTGTGTCTCTCTCATGCATACATACCCGTACATAAACCCTATAGATAAATCCCTATCTTAACCCTGGCACATAAACCCCTATCTTAACCCGCACACATGGAGAGCTCTCGGCATCGAAAATGGAAGTACATGTGCTACATCAGCCATCCGTGCAAAACGGAGGTTCAACAAACCTCACCACGTGACGACTCTGGAAAGACCACCTTGACCTCAGCTGGTCCTCTGTTTCTTGAGCACGAGGGTCTCGACTGTCTCAGCCTTTGCCAGCTCTGGCCGATGCAGCACGAGACTCTCGCCTTTGTCGATGCGGATAAAGTTGCGAACATACGGAAGCAGGAACTTGGAGCTGCCAGGCTTCAGAGATTGTTTTTCCGAGCCCTTGGGGCCAGCGAGTTCACAGTTACACTCATCGCGCTCCGTGGACACCCGCATCACCCACGACGGGTTCAGGAAGCCCCCCGACCCATCTTTGGGAAGTTGCACCACCGGCATGACATACAGGATCATGTCTTCGGACCCAAAGCCCTTGATGCACCCCAGCTGCACTGCACCCCCTGCGGCCTTCGAACTGGCTGCTCGTACATCCAAGCGGGTGCTTGCTACCGGTAGCCGCAAGGTCCCGTGTGCAAAAGCTTTCAAGGCCTGCACATCCCTCGACGGCTTGACCAGAATCTGGAAGGATTTCTCGTGCTTGACGAAGTCATGATACTGACCCTGCATGGCTATGAAGACCTGACCCTTCAAAGCGGCAAGGACAAAATCAGTCGAGACGTTTGGGGACTAGAGGTGCCAATCGGCGAGGACTTGGGGCTCCTGTTTCGGAGTGTGTTTCTTCCACTTGTTGTCCACGAAACTCTGGGCAGACACGGTGTGCACGCCCGACGACATCTCCAGCTCCACAGTGTCCGGGCTGATTGAAATGATCTTTTCCTGGGCATCGTCAGCTTTGCGGACCACGTCCATTCCAACCGCGAAACCCATGTCAATGACCCTCGCATTGTTGACAAGATTCCCCGCACCATCGTACAGTCGCAGAGCCCTGAAAAGCACGAGAGGCACCAACAAGGAAAGCTATACATGGACATGCACACAAACAAAACATCAGTCAACTCTCACGAAAACATCAAACCCTCTGGACATGTAGGCTGCCGACGATCCGGCAACCTCCTTCGAACTTGCTGCTGGGCTGGATGCTGCACTCGGCACCGAGGGAGCCCACTTTGAAGGCAAACCGAAACTGAGAGCTCGTTCATGAAGAAGCTCGTCGATGCTCCCGTGCTTGCAATACTTCCGCTTGCCGAGGATGATGGCGGCCATGCTCATCTCGATTTCGGTGACGGTCGTGGCAACAAGCTCAGGGGACATGGGCATGGACTTCAGGAGCAGCAGGAAGTCGGCCAACGAGCGCTCAGCTGAGGCAACTTTGCCCAGAAGGTCTCGACCGAAGGCCCTTTTCAAATCACTGCCGGACACGAACTTCTCTGCGCCTGAGAAGGCCAGCTTCAAAAGCCAGTGTCTCCACGACACGTGCTGCTCCTTCCCCTTGACTTCCGTGGCCAATCCTGTCCAGAAGTCGTTTCCGAGGCCGCGATTCGGAGCCCCATGAGCCCTGACATATCTCTCTGTGATGCTCATGTAGGAGTCCTCCTTCACACCGCCTCCGTACTTCAGGACGAAGATGAAGATACCAGGAAGCGCAGAGCCGCACGGCGGGCGAGAGCGAAGGATCTCGCCTGCCACGTCCTGGTATGCAACCGTGGTCGCACCAGGATTCTTAGCGAGGTGGGCATGGATGGCCAAGTTGACTTTCCGAGCTAACTGCAGTTCGTGTTCTACAGCGGCGACTTGCCCCGCCGTGTTCCCTGCCGCTTGTGCGAGAGCAGCGTAGTTGGGGAAGTGCTCCGTGACGGAGTGGGAGATCACGAGCCACTCGACGCCCTGCTCAATGCATCTGTGCCACTCCGGGTCCACTGTGGCTAGCTTTGGCATGGAGAGCCGGCCATCCACCGTCACCTTTGGGTCGCTGTGTTCCAGGCCCGCTTTAAAGGCACGGAAAGTCTGATTGGTATGACTACCAACGATGGATGCATAACGCAAGGCTTGCCCTGACACAGGTGCCAGCTTGCCGGCAGCCTCTGCGACGAGCCTTTCATTAAATTGCCTCACTTGGTCGCCTCGATGGTCCGAGGGCACTTCGATACAGATCGCCTTCACCTCCTTTTCTACAAAACCTATCGCAGCAATGCTGGAGATGAGCTCCCCCACATGAGTCGCTGAGCATCCGATTCCGTCTCTGTTGTGGAAATGCACACCGATCATGTCAGACTGAACCCTCAGCTTGAAGGCCAGTTTCTCGTTCAACAGATAGTCGTGCAAACCCGTGATGGCCTGGACAATGGAGCCTTCCTCTGCCTTCGTTAGGAATCCACAGATGGTCTCGATGTTCTCCGGACTCAAGCTCGACATGCTGCCTACTTGGAGCTACGGCTGTCCACTATACTTCGGGTCCTCCTGCGAGCAACGCCCTGCAGGAAGAAGCTTTGCGAGCAGAGCCCTGCAAAGCTGCATTGCTCCACGTAGACATGGAACAATGAAGTATAATATGAAATTGGTCCACTGGTTCCCTAACCAAAGCCAAACGGGTAGCCAACACAAAAAAGAAGTAGAAAATACAACGCTGAAGTCGGAACCAACCTGCGGCCTGCGGCCTCGAAACCAAACCCGAACCCATCCCAGTACAATATATGCAAAATCAAGCCAAACAAGCTTCATGAACGCAAATCTCGAACCCTTCTTTGTCCCATGCAACATCCTCAACCCATGACACACCTACACACGCCCACACACACACACTTGCATAATCTAAATGATCGAACAACAAGGGAAGTATTCCAAAGTTCGCCCCTGTTAAGACTACCTCTGCATGTGTGCATTCACACTAAAATTGAGGAGACCCGCAAGATGAGAAATGTACATATATATATATATATATAGCATGTGTATGCATATGGACTTGTACACATGTGTGTGTATGCACATATATAAACCTTTGGGTCTCTGCAGGTGTGTGTCAGAAGCAACACCCTATATGTATATAGGAATATATTCATGCATGTGTATATGCCTATGATAAAAATCCAAATCCCGGTGGCTTCGGCCAGCGAAATCATAACATCAACCTACCCAAATACATCTCTATCTACTCAAGAACCCGATGCGTGTATAATTAGCGACCCCCTTCCCTAAGAAGATGTACGATGCCCCCGGAGCCGCCTTATTGTGAACCTGGATTTAATATATTCGATCCCGCATATAAAGCCCTATATGCTATAATGCCTCCCGCTATCTTGAGCTATATAAAGCCTACATTACATGACCCTATACCCTGGGAGCCGGCCTGCTCGGCGAGCAAGCAGCCGCAGCCGCAGAAAGCGACCGGAAGAGGAGAAGGGCAGGAGTTGGCTTCGGAGGTTTATGTAAATGGGGGGGGGATTATCGATTTACAGATATTGGATTCGGTTTCAACCGATATACATATATAGCATCCTATACAACACACGTCCAATATTGGGTGTGCTTGTGCGATTGCTTTTCTACATAATATGAAGCTTCTCTCGGTTTGGCAACGATAGTTGTTTGTTGTTTGGGCATGTCATGTGAACAAGCGAAAATCACAAAAGTACTGATTTACCTCACAGGCAAAAACATAAACAACTCAAATCCATGCCCCACATGTTGGCCAGAAATGGATTAAAACTCTTGGCGGCAAGCCCCTTGGAAATTTAAAAAACAAATTCCTACACACGTGACACCTACAAAAACATGGAATTTTATTATGACAACAAGGACGCCCTCAGCTGCCTAAGTCCACTTAGCCGACTTAGCCTAAGTGCACTTACGAACAACATACCCTACTTATAACCCACTTATACAAGTAGGTTAAGTGCCTGCACTATGTAGGCTAAGTAGTTTGGCTCACTTACAAGATAAGTCCACTATCCTGCAGTGTATGTATTTAGTAACTGCCCAACTACTTAGCGACCACATATAATTTTTCCTATCTACTTACTATCTTGCACAGCGAACATACACAACATATAACCCATTTGACCAGCAACTTAGACAACATATAAGCCAGCTTATCGGACTTACTAAGTCAACTTCGTAACCAGAACAAGTCGACCAACTAGTTATAACCAGCACCGACCCTCCAAGTACTTATATCAGCTCGGCCGAAGCCTTCGTTAGACACAACGCCCATGACTGCATCTACCTTGATCACGAGAAAGACTTCAGGGTGCTTCAGCTCTTCGCCCCCTCGTTTATGCGTGGTAAACGCTTACTCGTTCTTCGGCTCTCCCACAACGGGGACTGTGGAGCTTGATTTGATCCACGGCGACGGGCCGATCATCAGCACTGGAGCGGTTGTCATCCACAGGGGGCATATGCGGGCTGTCCTGAGTAGTTCTTCAGTTCTCGAGCAGCTTTTGCGTACCGCACAGGATGGGGCCAGAGTGGCCAGGGAGCTCGAGGCGACTGGTTGGGGTGCCTTCTTGGAGGCCCAGGACGCAGCAGGGGAAATTATCCCTTCTAAGCCTCACCCCTGTTACAGGTGTCGCCGCCCTCAAACTCCATGTAGGCGAGGATGATGATCTGGGGGACCCGGCTCGCCCCCCAGCAGAAGGTGTAGAAGGTGTGTCTGCTCCGGCCAGGGAACCTCGTAGGCCCGTTTTGGTCACGGGGGCCGACAGCACTGGTGAGGCACCCGGGGTGCAGCAAACTCTGGTGCTGCCTGCCATTACACCCAGCACGACCGCATTGCAGGAATGGATGGAGGCCAATTCTGAAGTGTTGGCCCAGGGCTATTTTCTTTGGCTTATGGGGGCGGCACCCTCGGGGGTGCTGCTTAGGCAGCCCCCACATTGTTGCGGCATGGTGCTACCGCCCCAGCCGACCAAGTCCCTGCGCAGCTTGGCTGGTTGTGGCATGCGGCTTTTCGTGCAACGGCTGAAGAGGCTGGGGGGGGGCGGGGCGGTCCCAAAACTCGCTGTCGAGGCAAGCGAGGAGGTGATCGAGAGAGTGGGAGGGTCGTGTTGTGACAAAGCAGTCGAATACCTCGAGCACTGCCAGTCCCCTTTCTCAGTCGGGAAGGCTAAAGAGGCCGGTAAGTTGGGAGCCGAGTTAGTAATTGCTGCAGGCACTGTCAAGGACGCAGTGGAGACTTTGAACTCCGTTCGAATCGCGAAGCTGGGGGATCATCAGGTAGGCGCGAAGCGCGGCTTGTTCAAAGGCGTAGAAGTCCCCCTCCGCCGGGAAGAGGCCAAAAACCATGGCTCGGTGTATGGCTATGAAGAGGACTCCTCCAGAAAGCGTGGAAGGACGCCGCTTACGGGGCCGCCCTCCTTGTGGACCCCACCGAGGGGACGGTGGAACAGCTGTTTCGCGCCGCTGGGGTAGCTGAGAGCCCGTTGGGCCGGGTCCCTAAGCAAAACCCGATCGGACGATTTCCTCTGAGGGCAGACCCATTAACGACATGAGGAAACAGAACAAAGCCGGTTCAAAGTTCAATCACCCACCTGCCCCTCAGCCCAGGCACCACGCCGTTGCGAGACAGTCACTCTGGTGGAGGGCGAGGCATCCGGGCATCCCGCAGAGATGTGCCAAGCGAGATGTGCCCCGCGCCTTCAAATGGCATTTCCTGCGGTCGAAGGATGTCCCGGAATTCGCTGTGCGTCTTGCCGGCTTGATCATCCTCAGCCTTGCTATGCCTTTCGGCTGGGTAGGATCCCCGGGGGGGTTCGTTGCTTGGAGTGCTGCTGCGAAAGCGCATCACGGGTCGTTCCGCCCGGCAGACCCGCGGTTCAATGACGTGGTGCCCTATGAGTCTAAGTGGCTAATGGATGATGGGGTCGTTGTTGAACCGTTGGTCGGGACCCGAGTCTTCGATTCTGTGGCGGTGCTCGACGAAACCATGAAGCTGGTCTGGGGCGGAAGGGGTGAATGTCGAGAAGATGGCAGAGGAAGGTGAGCCCTCGGCGACACAGTTACTTTGGGGGCTCCACATGGACTTTGAGCAGCATCAGGTGAGGTTACCTGAACCTAAAAGGATGAAGGCCAAGTACCTCCTGGGCGAGCCTGCACTCCAGAGGGGATGCAAGAATGTCCCTCTCGGCCTTCTGCTGAGGTCATTGGGTGCGCCCAGTACTGGACTGTCGCGTGCCCCGCGCTTACCCCACATCTCCCGTCCTTGTACTGCCTCCTCAAAGGCCCTCCAGGGGCAAGGTAGAAAGGAGGTTAAGGGAAAGTCCCGAACTCTGCTTAAGGTCGAGGCGAGCGACCCACAGGAGGAGTCTCTCAGATGGGACAACTTTTGGGATGCGCTCGACTTTATCCGCTTGCAGTTGGAAGCCCCCCTGCAGTCTAGTTTCGCCTCAGTTTTTGAGAAACTTCTGCCCAAAAGGGAGAGAGACTCGCCCTCCCAGGAGCTACCGCCCGAACGCGGATCACGGGGGGAGATGCCACTCTTGATAGGATCGGGGCGGTTGACTGGAAGGCTCGGGTGTTTCATGCATCCACCGTGGACAAGTTTCAAAATGCCCTGCGGGCAGTAGCCTCCTCGGAGGATGAAGACATCATCTCCATCATGGAACTGCTAGCGTTTGTGGTCCTTGCCTGCCACCGCAAGCAACATTGGGGCGGTGAAATTGTCCTTTACGTCACGGACAACTCGAATGTACGCAGCTGGCTTTACAAGCGTCGCCCAGGTAATAGGGTCGCCAGTTTGCTTATCAGACTTGTCCAGCGTTTGGAGTGTGAACACAATTTCACGGCTCACCCCATGTACATCCGCACCTACCGGAACCAGTTGGCTGATTGGTTGAGTCGGGAGGACTTAAGGGTTGTTCGGGAACAGCTCCTTTCAGACGGGTGGGAGGAGGTCCCAGGGGAGATCGATTGGGAAAGCTTTCTCCAAGACGCTAAGCGATCCGCTCTGGTCTTACCTTTGGGATCCGATCCCAGCGCCCAGAAGGCTCGCCAGCTTACCCACTGCGCGGACTCACCACCGCCGTCTTTGAAACATGTTTGTCTTCGTGAGGCGTGGGAAGTCTGGCATGTCGAAGACTTTCAGGAGTTCACAAGCTGTGCCATTGCTCTCCGTCTGTTTCGAGCCTGGGAAAAGGGGAGCCACAGCAACGCTTGGTTCACTTTCTCTCAGGATCCGCAGGGCAAGGAGAGAACTCGTTTTTGGGCCCGTCTGAGGGAGAGCCGGGATCGCCTTGGTAAGCTGGTAGTTGACTGCCCGAGGCAGTTTGAAACTTCTCAGCTTGCGATGCAGGAGATCCTCCCGAACCTAAGAGTGGTTTCGTACGTTAGTTCCCACCTGGGCGCCTTTAGCGCAAGGCGAAGGACGCTTCTATTAGGCTGGGCAAACCAGGTGTTACCGCCGCCGGAAGGGATAGAACAGCACCGAGTTCACCCTCCTCCGGCTATGCAGCTCATCCCCCTTGACCCTGAGGCAAAGGCATCCCACTTGTGCCTGGGGGGAGTTGTGACTCAGGAACCCGGCATCGTCACGACTGGGGATTCCTGGCTCCCACACCCCTATGGGCACGTCAAAGGCTCTGGCTTCCCACCCAAATGCTTGGTCCATCATACTTCTGGTCCGGCCTGTGCTTTCCTGGGTCCCACACGGGACCTCAAAGGCGCAGGGGCCACCTTGATCCCCAACACCTCTGGACCTCTGGAGGGGTCCGTCCTCTGAGTTACGGTGAGATCGCCAGGGCCCAAGGAGTTACCTCCCAAGAGTGGGCAACCCTCTTGAAAGCGGAGGGGCCAGAGAAAGCTTTGCGCCGCATTGTTCGAGAACCAGGATGGCAAGTAGCGGCAGTTTTGCTCGGCTTATGGCAGACACCAGCGGAGAAGGTCGGCAATTGTCTGGAGCTAAGGCCCAGCTCGAGGTGTGGCTTACCGCTTGGAAGCAGAACCCGGATCGTCCTCGGGAACTTCTTGACCTGGTGCCTTTTGGGTCGCTTCCGCCCGGAGTAGAGCCCACTGCTTGGGAGTGTTCCCCTGAAGAGGAAGGCAGACCCTGCCCACCGCTCCCTGGTGACCCCGGTTCTTCTTGGTGATGAGAGGGAGAAATTCTTTGGGACGCAGGGATTACCGTCGGGGGGTAACGGTGTCTCTTTCCTGGACCAAGTAGGGCAGGAAGCTGTACTTAGTAAGCTTGCCGATTCCACCCGACGATCCTATAACACTGGGTGGAAACAATGGGCAGCTTTCATGTCTGGGACAGGAGTCTCGCCCTTCTTACAAGGGGAATCTCGGTTGGAAAAGCAGCGAGACGAAGATTGGTTGATCCGCTTCACCGTCTTCCTTCATCAAGTGATGGGGCGCACCGCCCAGGGTATCAAGCAAAGGCTCTCCGGCATTCGATACGCTCACATTGCGGCCGGTTATCAGGACCCTTTGGCCGGCAGAGTCAGGCTTTGGGCCGCGCTGGCTGGAATGAACCGTTGGGACGGTGCCCCAATCCGCAAGGTGCCAGTCACCCCTAGTATGTTGACCTGGCTCAAACGATACCTTGACGGGTCGGACCGCCCACTTGCTGAAAGAAAGGCTCTGTGGACTTCCATTCGCTTGGGTTGGTTTTTCATGCTACGAGCATCGGAGTACCTCCCAGGCTCGGACCTGTGCAACGTTCCCACTCGAGTGCTCAGAGGCAGTGACCTCGACTTCTTCTGCAAAGGTCGACGCTGTTCGGTGTTCGAGGCCGATTCAGTAGCTGTCCAATTGCGGGACTCTAAAGGGGATCAATTTGGGAGAGGCCAGGTGAGGCTTCAGCATGCTACCGGTGAAGACATCTGTCCCCAGAGCGTTACAGGAGCACGCTAAGCACAACCCCTTTTGGGTAAATGACGCTAGCTTCCCGTTTCGCCTGGCAAGGAATTGGTATCTCCCGAGAAAGCCTGTCCGATCTCCTAAGGTTGGCCGCGGTGGCGCTAGGGTACCCAGCGCACCTCGTCGCCTCCCATAGCCTGCGAAAAGGAGGCGCTACCGCCATGCTTGCTGTCACTAATGATGTCGAGGTCGTCAAGAGGCTTGGAGGTTGGAAGTCGGATGCGATCCATGCTTACTTGTATACTGACCTTGCTGCTGCTCCGAGTCGCTCTAAAGACATGCTGGCGTCCCGCCCTGCGCTTCAACCACAGCAGTACTCACGAACTAGTGGGCAGGCCTCGGTAGGGACTAGAGCTGGAGGCCCCTCTAGCGATGAAGATAGCAATGAAGGTTCCTCAGATGGACCTGATGAAAACTGGGCTACTAGCCAAGCGCACCTAGAGCATCTCGAAAGGACCACAGGCCTCACGTTTATTCAGAGGGTTCGTCTTCGTAGGCAGCTTGAAGCTGGAGGGGTGATTGACCCCCCTCCGTTTCTGTTCCGGTTCGGAGGTACCCCCGAATGGCTCCTCCCTCCCGATGCTGATCCCACGAGAGCCCCCGAGAACTCGTCTTCTGGGTCTGCATCTAGTAGCCAGCCGCCGCCTGCACAGCATGTACCTGGCTCACGCATGTCTCCCGAGCTGCTTTCTTTGCTCCAGCAAGCGTTCCGCTCTCCCCGGCGCACCGCCCCCCCTTCTGCTCTCATCATGGCCGAAGCCGCGCCTCCTACTGGCATGGGGAACCGCCAACTTCGAGAGTGGATCCAGGAATGGGGCAGCGCCTGGGATTTCCTTGGTGTTCCACCTGGGAGCTCGATGAGCGATGTGCTTCGGGCATACAAGCGCACCGCTGTTCGACTGCACCCAGACAAAAGCCCACCGGCGGAAGTGGAGATGGCCACGGTTCGCACGCAGGCCCTCGGCAACGCCAAGGAGATCCTCCTCAACCCGGGCCTGCGCATTCTCCATGACAGCATCCTGGGCCTTGGTGTTGGAACTGGGGGAACGGTACCACCCCCGCCAAACGCAGCTGCAGATGGTGGCTCAGGCGGTACCGCCCCTCACCATGGTTGGTGGAATCAGGCGCCACCGCCAAAGGCCCCTCCGCAGAGTTCGAGCTCCTCGGCACCGCCACCTTCTGGCAGAGGCAAAGGGGATGCGCCACCACCGTCTGGCCGAGGATATGGTCCGAGTTCCTCGTCAAAGGCAAGGACAAGGGACGCTGGGGTCCCCCCTTCTGCGACACGAGCAGCGATGAGTTGCCCAGCGACGGTTCAGACACGGAATCCTCCGGTCCGGAGATTGACCGGTACCCGCGCATCCGCTGTGGCAGAGTTCTCCGGTGTTGCAATCAATGTGGGCATCACCAGTACTGGGGAGATGCCTGGTGCATGAGATGCGGATGGGTGCGCCAGGAGGTGGAGGCACGAGCGCCGACCAAGCGAGCATAAGGGACCTCTTTATGGGTACCACCGGCAGCAGAAAGGCGCTGCTAAGGCTAAGGGCTCCCATGGTGACTACCGCCCCGAACATTCCGCAGGAGGAAAAGGCTCCAAGGGAGACGAAGAACCTTCCAGTGGATCTCAAGCTGGTGGCTATGGAGGAACTGGAGAAGCTCCTTCTGGACCCCAACCTGGCTCATCATCGGCTGGCGCTCCGCGTCGCGCAAATCCTGGGCGCGAACAAAGAAGGCTCCACCGCCTCCTCCTTCGTCGAGTTCGAGCGGAGCTGGCCCTGGACCTGCACCTTCCTACGGAGGAGCTTACAAGGCCCCGCCAAAAGCACGGCCGAGCAGCCCATCCTCAGCACCTCCGCCAAAGAAGGCCGCACCGGCCCCAAAGCCGTCGCAGGCTCCAGAGCCAGATGCCCCGCCTCCTAAGGCACCCTCACAAGGGAAGATCCCAACCAAGGCGCCACCGCCCTCCACCTTCAACAACATGATGTGGTGGATTTGTGGAGGATGCGGGGAACCCAATGGACTCCACCGTTATGGGTGCAATGGGTGTGGCCGCTCACAGCACGCCCTGGGCAACGTTCAGGAAAAAGCAACCCACTGGATTTGCGCAGATTGCAAAGATGAGATTTCTATCAAATTGAACCAGTGCCCTGGATGTGGATGCTGGCGCCCCAGGTATGGATCTCTCATCAACAATGGCCCGTCCCCAGACGACTTGTTGGTGCACCCGAGGGCATCTACAACCACTGTCGTACTCAATCGGCGCGACACAGTCGATGGAAGCCCGGGGATAAACTTGAAGCACACAGTGGCAAAGCTTCAGCCACTACCAGTGGGGGCCTACAGCCCGTGGCAGATCCGCCCCAAGGGCCAGCCCCCAAAAAGGCGGGAGGCCCGACGGAGGAGAATCGGCCCATGGCGATCGTGGCACCTAATAGGGAGGCTTTGTGGTTTACCGTGCGGGAGCTGGACGAGACAACCCCCAGACTAGTTTTGCCCTGGACGCTCTTCCAGCACGTGGTTATGTGCCGCAGAGGTTTATGTGGCTTGCAGTCTTGGGGACGTGTGGGGGTTATCTTCATCAGGCGAGCCGCGCAGGACATCCTGCATTGGGCGCACCGCCGGGGCCACATGACTCGACTTCGTGTGGCCAATCAGAATAACCCGTGCTTCATGTGCTTCATGGACCTACAGGAAGTACATCCAGAACCTCAAGGTGATCTACCGCCACTGAGCCCAGCAACTGGAGACCACCGCCCTTTATATACCTTTCAGGATTTTCTGAGGAACCCCAGCCTTGGACAGCACTACAGGGGAAATGAAGGGCCACCACGCCCGGGCCGCACCGCCCTGCCTTGCATTTATGCGGCTCCGCTCCACCAGCTCCCGCTGCGGAGGCGGACAACGCTCAGAATGTCATGGGTCGGTGGGCTATGCGGATCTTGGGTGACGAACCAGCTGTTATTCCCCCTGATGAAGGTGCTCCACCAGCGGTGGCTCCACCCAGGGTTCAACCTCCAGGGGCAAAGGCTCTGGAAACGCCGTTCAGAGAGCCACACATTGGTTCTGCAAAAGGTGTTCCTTCGGAGTGCTCATCACCCGCTCCTCTTGCCCAATGTGTCACCGCAACAAGGAGCTGTGTGGTTTCCGACGACGAGGAGGAGGAAGACGATGTCGCTCTGAATGAAGCCGAGCTCGAGGAGGTGGCTCGATTGGAACGGGAATGCTCAGAGCTGGAGCAGAGGATGAGAGGCCTCAACGCCGGCCAACAACGGGCGCTCCTGGAGAACCTCGCGAGCAGCTCGAGTGCGGTGATGGGAGGACTTTTGGCCGACACCATCAGGCGCACCGCCCAACTCCGAGGTCAGAAGGGCAAGGGAGGGTCTAGCAATGTCAAGGTGAGAGCGACCAACGACACTGCTCGGAACGACCCGAAGTACGTCGAGGACCTAGAAGCCGGGGTGACTCTGGCAGTGGCATTGCATTCCAACGCCACCGATCACGACTTCGAGCTGTGCAGCACCAAGTGGCCCAGGGCAACGTGGCGTTACAGCCCAGGGCCACGCCGTTGCAAACAGTGAGGTCGTTACCGCCCATGATGAGCCTTGGCCGGTCCCACCGCCTCTACCTCCTCAATAGACTGGAGAGGTTGGAGAGACAAGGAGTGACCTGGACTCAGGAAGAGGTGGGGGAGTGCTATACCATGGACCAATTCCTCGATTACTTGGAGGCAAGAGTCCGAGCAGATGCGGAAAGGTTGTGGGTTCGGCCTCAAAATCTGCAGGCGCTCCACCACCAACAGGTGTACCACCTCAACAGGACGCCCCAACGAGTACCTCGACGGGAAGCTCTTCTTCGCCATCCGGTACAACCGCTGCCGGGCGGCCAGACCTTCCCCCGCCTCATGCTGATCAACCAGAAGCTCGCGAAGCCGGGCGGCCAGTGCCCCCTGATCAAGGTGACGATCAGCCGGAAGGTCACACCTCAGCCCCTTCTACAACGCCTGAGGGAGGGAATGTCGCAGGCGATACCGCCCCAACAAGGACCGATTTGCCTGCTGACGATTCGGCAAGAAGGTCCGCTGTGGACGGATTTCGTCTTTGAAGCTCTTCAAGAGCTCACCGGGCGTATAAGCCCTGTGCACAGGCGTTCCGCCAGAATGGGAGCCAAAGGCTCCGATGTACAGCGGGCGGTGTGGCGATCCGCCCTTGTCTTTTGCAAGTCAGTTTGTGAGTTGAGGCAAAGCCTCAGACAGAGGACGATGACGGATGGGTCCGGAAACAGTCGGGTTTCGTTCTGCCCCCCCCTTGCCCTGTCTTTAGGGAACCGAACTCCTGCATGGCACTAGCTGCAATTGTTAGATAAGGCGGCAGAGGCTTTTCAATGCCCGAAGGGAGCGAACCGCCCCGACATGGCGTGTTCGACTTTTAACGAACAACACCTTCGGCGAACCGCTCTGTTGCCCGTTGTAGTGTCATGCATAGTACGGTGCCTGCTCTTTTGGTACAGCAGAGTGTGAGCATGCAGAACTTGCTCGTTAGTGATAACATAGAGTTCTGCTAGTGAACAAGCCGATGTGTCTCAAGACTTTTCGGCTCAGTTGAAGTTTGGCCCTCCCGCCCTCCCTGGTCTTCGGGCCTTGGCGGCAGAGGCTTTTCAATGCCCGAAGGGAGCGAACCGCCCCGACATGGCGTGTTCGACTTTTAACGAACAACACCTTCGGCGAACCGCTCTGTTGCCCGTTGCAGCGCGAAAGAGAGTGTCATGCATAGTACGGTGCCTGCTCTTTTGGTACAGCAGAGTGTGAGCATGCAGAACCTCCAGTACTGGAGCTGAGGCACTGCTTCGAAAGCCCCGTGAAGCAACGGGCAGTCGCAGATGCTGAGGAAGTGAATGAATCGCTCTTTTCGGACGAGCTGCTTCTTGTGATCGAAGAAATCATCATCCAGAATCCAGTTTATCTCTTGCTCCACTCTGCTGCGACACCATGCCGACATTTTGGACAAGGGACCCATTACTTCTAACATGAAAAGTATGAAACGTGAAGTCTAGGACACGTGAATTCCATCATAAATGCCTCCTGACTCAAGCCAACACGACAGAGGAACAGCAGGTATTTGGGAAAACAGGCAGGTGAGGTTAAGTGAGTTCAATTTCGGGGTGAAGCTTCTTTTGGTGCTTGAGTTCAGGGTTATTGCCTTTGGATTTTCGGGGGTACCTATAGGGGTTGTCTGGAAGTTCGCGATCCCTTCAATCCCTGCTGCAAGACTTTTAAAGAAAGGATCCCATCATTCAGAGTTTTATTTTCGGGTCCCCAACTCTAAAGGCTAAATCCTGGACCTGCAAATCGGGGTTTTAGGGAGTACTGGGGGGCCTGAGGGTTCAGGTTTTGGGGGCTCAGTGTAGCTATACTCTGGGCTTCACTGGTTATAGCTTTGGAGATAGGGTTGGCGATCGGGGTGACGGGTTAGGGTCAACCCTGCATGATGGGATTTTTCCCATCAATCTCGAACAAGTTCAGGGTTTGGGGTTGAAGGTTGCTGTTCTTCAGGGCCTCATCAAAGGACCCCCTGGATCATTAGCCAACGAAGCAAAAGTGAAGACAACTGGGGGCCAAAGCACCTTGAACCTAACATAACATGAGCATTCTCAATAACCCCTTGAACTCATGGCAGATTAAAAACCATGTGTTGAACACCTCTAGCTTCGAGATTCCAGATCTGGCTGCTTGTTCAGCGCCACATCAACACGGCTGCTTCTTCAGCGCCGCACACACATGATTAGAACGACCAGGATCCACTCTTTTCACATGGCGCCGCATGCTCCCGTTCTAGCAGCACAGAGAGGGTCTTCGGAGTTCTGTACTTTTCTGCAACCCAATGCATCGCTGCGATGAAGATACCACGATGTCCACCGCAAAACTGCATGAAGAACTCGCTGCTCTCCCGGTCTAGCCTCACACCGGCTTCCTTCAGTTCAGTGTCCAGCTCGCTCGTGCAGCTCAAGGGCGGCGTCCACATGAACTTCTGGCCCACATCACGGCCGGTACCTGTACCGCTCGAGCAGAAATGTCTTCTTCATAATGTACCGCCGGGCCCACTGGATCAGGCAGGTGAAAGGGTTGCAGCTGTGTGCGATATTGCGAAGATTCTTCATATGGTCTTCGTCGAGGAAGTTGCCAAGATGGATCGGGTTCAAGCGACTGGCCAGGGTCTCGTCGCGCAGGTGTTCCAAATAATGGAATTTTGGCCGTACCTTCCAATTCAGTTCGGATCGCGACAAAGAGTCGTTGGCCATGAACTGATAGGTCAAGCCGAAAACCGAGATCGCCTGGTCGATACTCCAGATCATGCGTCCTCGCATGCGGGTAGCAATTGTATCCTTGAAGCTTCCCTCCCGGCACATCCAAACGGCGCATACGGCGCAATACTGCAGCAGGACCCGACATCGGCTTGCCTTCACACGTGAGGTAAGCTCCGGATATCCAAGGCTGTTAATGCCGACGGCAGTTTTGCTGAGCGGTCGTATGTGCAGGTCAAGTTTCATGCTTTTGGCCCAGCTTCGCGCTTTGCTTGTGAAAGCGTGCAAGCAATCGCCCCAGTCGGTGCCAGGCGGCAGCTGCAAGAAAGCTTGTAACTCCCCTTAGCAGCAGGAACCCCGAAACCCTGAACCCCCCCCCTGGGGCCTTAGGACGGTTAGCACTAGAAACTCGGCCGGCGGAAAGCATCACCCAGGCTTGGGGTTTGGCGAAGTTTGAAGTTTGGGGAATAGGTTTCTGGATTCCAAAGATTAGAAATTGCGAGCTTCTTCGAAGAATGTTAACCTGGAAACAGAAAACATGCTGTGTTGAGCTCCGGTCTCAAGTGTGTTCTTCAGGAAGCCGCCGACGACATCTCTCAGAATGCCGAGGTGGCACAGGTGCATAAGATCATACAACCTGCGCCTTTTGTTGTATCCCCGCACTGCTGTCCAGGGCGACTGCTCGCGTGCAGCGGTGTCTCCCTGGTAGTCTGTCGTCCTTCTCCACATAGCATCGGCCCTAAAGTCGAAGTAAGGCACCACGGGCCCTTTCATGGCTCCACACCAGTCACAAACAAGTTTTGCATTGTAGTACCTGCTGAGGTTGTGCGACTTCCAATGCGCTTCTTGGTCCCCCTTCCAGTAGGAAAAGCACGCCTTGGGGATGACTTGCCCGGCACGGCTGGCTCTCTTGGAATTTGGAGCGAAGTTCACCCCGGTGTGGTCAGTCATGGCATGCCTGCCATGTAGCAAGGATTCCAAGTCCCAACCGATCAGATTTGCAATGAAGGTCCTCGTTGCATCGCATATCCTTGAGCTGTCTATTCCGACAACCTGGGTGTCCGTTTGGCCTTAAATTAGGTGGCCGTAGGTCGCAAGGCCAAAAGGCCATGAAAAAACGCATTGACCGTGAAAAACCATATGGCCACGAAACCAGTGTGAATTCACGCTGGGGCCTGTGAATTCACGGAGGGGCTGGAAATTCACAGGGGTGCTGGGGAATGTACAGAATTCTGAATTGTACAGTGCGGTAAATCGGCGGTTGTGAAGTTTCACTCTGTGTTTGGGTGTTTGCTGGGCAAAAATTGTCTTTTGTACAATTAGCGTGTCACGCCCCCACGGGGTTCGATTTAGTCCTGTATACAAACCCAGATCGGCCAAACGGGCGGTTCAAACCTATAGCTCTAGAGTACTTTTGGCTCAAAAGAAAACAGACAAACTTCTGAATTTCGGCTCGATCGGTGAGAAAAAGTAAGAAAGACGCTCAAAGCCGTAGATGCCCATATATTAATAGTATTATATATAATATATATATATATATATATATATATATACCGGGCATCTTAAGGCTTTGACCCAGATACCCTACGATATATATATATATATATATATATATATACATATATATACACCTCTCTCTCGAGCTCCCTCGCTCTCTCTATATATATACACATAATACGATCATTCGAATGCCTTTTTGGGGGGCATTGCTTTCGAAAGCGAGCGATTGTGAATTCGATTGATCAAATTAATCATTTGATCCGAGTTGCACAAATGTGCAACCTTCTGCGGCAGTACGCTTGAGATTAAGTCCAAATTTGATCTGCCGTCCGCAAGGCTATGAGGCTCACGTGACGGCACGGTCGCTCATTGGCCTCTCTTGGAAGACACACGTACTCGATGCACTGTCAAGATGATCGAATGAGTACTGTACGCATCCTTTATATATGTTCCATGTGCAATTGTATGTACTTGGAATTTGCAGGTATGTATATGTATAGCTATACTTAAGTTCATGTACGCATACTGGATATGGTTAACTATTGATATGGATACGGGTATATGTATGGTGATAATATATACATGTACACATACTTAAGTGCGAATGCCGTCTGTACACTCGCGGATCCAGTCTGCGATGCTTCAGGTCTTACACATACATATCATGGCTCAAATAATATTAGACCCGAAACCCCTAAACCCCTAAACCCTAAAATATATTAATTGTAGATGAACTCCAACTCGTCGGTGTCGATGGCGCCGGGCCTGCAGATCTGAAGATTGGGTGTGCCCTAGCGGCTCGGGCCGGTTCATCATAATCTAAGGCTCCTCGTGGTACTCTGTGAAAGTTGGGGGGCTTTGCTTGAAGTATCAGGCTTTGCAACAACCTCAGATTGAATGCAATTGTCGGCTACAAGGGCAGGGGTCTAATATTGTCGTAGGGCTTCGGATTTAGAACGCCGGGCATTTCGGGTTTGGGTATTCCCCAAGAAAAGTTGAAACCTTATTGAGTTCACTTGCATCCTATATACCCAACATCCTATTACATTTGCATCCGTCAGTCTTGACAGTTGTTCAATATGATTTCCAATACACTCCTTCGTGGCAATAGGAACTCTGAACTTTGATCGAGTTCATGTACCTAGGACCTAGGCCCCTAAATTGAAGGGTCTTCGAGCCGTTACGGATGGGGCACCCAGTTCTATGTACTCTCGTACTCTCGATCCCAAACCCCAAGCTCACTGCATTCAAGCCCCTAGAAACAAATTTAATTACAAGCAGGGCACAACATTTTCCTCCATGACCTCCTTGAAACCCTACATTAAATAAGTAAGCTCAGGGGGGGCAATCAAATGAAGCCGACGGGAAAGGTACGTACATATGGCGACCCTCCTCGATCTCGCGACGTCGCTGCCGACAGGTGCAAGCCCCCCCGCCCCGTCTGCTTTCTGCTCAGAAGTTGATCGTGAAAGCTGCTGCTTCAGTTGATGCATTAGGGCTGCCCGTGCATGCTCGAAGGCGACTGTACTCAGCTCGGGCCCAGGGTGTGTTTTGCTTCGCTTCCGGAGTGTAGGATCCGATTCAATATATACTACATTGCAAATATATCAACCTGCCATCGCAGAAAATCAGAATCCTCTAGAGGACTGCTGGAATTGGAGAAGTTTTGGGAGCCCGATGTCCCCGCAGTGCTGTGTAAGCTTAAGATGACGACCTCGACTAAAATGGTGGAAGCTGTGGCGGCCGCCTTCGCACAGGAGCCAGGGCTGAAGGAGGCTCGCCCGATCCTGCATTCCCACTGCTAGCTTCATTTGATCAGCCTTTGATTGCGGTATTAAGCGGTGGTGTGCTTACATATGATGTCAACATAAATTCACGTAAATGTACGCATGGAAGCTTACACACATATATACGTAGTTACATACTTCCAGGCATACGTACATACATGCATACGTATGTATATACATACATAACTACGTGTACACATACATACATACATACATATATACATACATACATACATACATACATGCATGCACGCATACACACATACATATATACATATCATACGCACACATAAAAATATAATACTTATGTACCAACATGCAATGATTCCACCAAAGATTCCATCATTCGTTCATGCTTGCATATACACGCACAACACACGCACACACAAGCGCACAGACTTAGCTTAAGTAGAGCTGCTACTTACTAGTTTGCATCA